TGACTTCAACGATGGGCTGGAGACATAAGCAGAATTTGTCGACGTCATCGTCAGTCAGCCGGTGTTCTTCTGGAATAGTAGGAAGCCAGCTTGGTGACGTCAGGCGTTCCCTACACAAGGACAAGAGTGTGTGAAAACACACACAGTCATGTCCAGTCAGCAGACTGCTGCAGTGAATCCATGCATTTATATAGCTTGAATTTCATGGCAGATCAGAATGGCCAGTACAGGCTGCCTGCACTGCACTGCAGAGACGTAAAACAAGCATGCATGCGCTGTGGTACCTGTGATAGAGCCTTCTGCAAAACAGTGATGATCAGGATATGCATGCGCTGGGAAAGGAGTACTGGCAGTAACAATACAATCACCCGAGTCTGGGGAAAGGAGTACCAGCAGTACCAGTAGTCACCCGAGTCTGAGAAAAGGAGTACTGGCAGTAACAATATAGTCATCAGAGTCTGGGGAAAGGAGTACCGGCAGTAACAATAGTCAACGAGAGGAACGGCAGAACCTCCATGAGACTTTGGATTAATTGCCGATCCCCACATGTACATGATGTCACAAGTCAATCCTGTGTTACTACCAGGTATGCTAGTCAACTATCGAACTTAGACTATCAGTGCACACAAGCTTAATGCATGTATCCAGGGCAACCGTCAAATACATACTTGTGATAGCGAATGCAAAAGTACTTTGCAAGGCACAGGAAGCGTTGAATTCGTACCTGTGAGCACAAACAAAACAGAATTAGACATGCGCAGGATACATTGAGAGAAACTGTCCACGAACACCACTCCACTTGCTTTGCAGATAGCCCACATATGGTCGAACCACGTAGACGTCAACAGTGCATATTATGCATACCTGCATGCATGTCATCATACCCATCTGTACATTAGGTAGGTACAGCTGCATGCATATCCCCCCCCCCCCCCCCCCACACACACACGTATGCACACGCACCTCCACACAAAGGCAGTGCGCACATAATATGTTGAGCTGTCGTATGTACAGTCCATGCATGTGTGCGTTGAAATGCCGTATGTGCAGTACATTGATGTGTAGTACATGTGTGTGCGTGTGTAGTACATGCAGTGCATGTGTGTGCAATGTGCATGCTAGAAGAAAACTCTTACCTGGAAATGACCTGTATTGGACGGGTGGTAGAAGTTCTTCAAAGTCAACATCAATTTGTAGAAAAGCTTCATTGCTGGCTCAGACTGGCCACCCTGCAAGTACAAAGTAGATGCAACCGGAGAAGAGAATTTAATATAAGAGTAGAAAGGTCAAGCTGCAGGTTATTTTTGACGTGACGCGCAATTTCACGTCAAATGGGTCATTGGTTGGCGTAAAACTCCTATTTCGACACGAGACGCTGTTCTGTTGCATTGTTTTCCAAAACTGCGTCTCGTCAAAAATAATGTGCAGCTGAACCTGTCTAGTGTCCGCTCAGTGCCCTGATTATGCTGATACACGACCTGTGCTTCGTGACCGCTCTCACGTGGATCTCTTGGTCATGTGGTAAATGCCAACATGGTCTGACCACACAAACGAAATAAAGGGCGCTGGACATTGGTTATACCAGACACACTACGGTGATTTGTGACGTCGCACGCCTTTGGCATAGCTCTGAATAGGATATCATTTCTAACAACATGTGCATACTCGAAAGAGTATATTCCTTCAGCATCCATGGTGACATATACAAAGTCTGGAAGGAAATAATTATTAGATAAACACTAGAATTAGCCACCTTTGGGTAGCTCACACAAACCACTTTGGAAATGGAACAAACTTTGGAGGCATACTTCATAATGTAGCTGCAAGGCATGATTTATCCCGTATTGCATCACTGTTTCGCAAAGCCAATTTGTCCATTTACAAGGCATAGTCGGGCTTGTGTAGCGAAAAGTACAATGCCCACGCGCAGATTGCACTTTGCAGTATGAGCACGGTGCAGTGTAGATCAGTACTGCTAAATGAAATCCAGTCACGTCACTCTCAAGTACGCCATGCCAGGCGTTGCGCAGCCCTAGACCTGCAAACACTGGGCTGCGAAATAGTGCAAGGCGCAAACTGGAGTGACGCTGTGGCTGGATTTCATCGAGCAGCACTGTACATGTACGGTTATGTGTACTCAGCACACCGGATACAGATCCACACGTGTGTGTACTGTGAACAAACAGTGCATGGCCTGTCTTGCTTGTGATGCATTACCAGCTGAGGACGTCGAGTACGAAACACCTACTTTCATGTGAAGAGCCATATTTGGCAAAGCACTATGGACTGGATCGCTTTGTACAGATGCCAGGAGACACTTCCAGAAACTAACGCCACACAGTGATGATTCCATCGTCTTTTTATCTATTTTTAAACGGTGCTCTTTGGCATTCGTCGGTGACAGTAGTGTCATGCCAGTGAGACCGGGTACTGTTGAGAATCGGAAGTACTAGATAACCATGGAAGGTATTCTGCAAAGAACCTGGTCACAGTGCATTGCACTGTGCACTTGCAAAACGTGCTGGAAGAACTGCCATACAAAATGAAAAACACCTACATGTATGGATAAAGTCTGAAGCAGTTATGCTATGTATGTGACTTTGAGAGCGAAGCTGTGTTCATAACTGGTACGTGTACAGGTTTGTGCGCATTTTGGTGGACTGGGGGAGTCATACCTATGGACGAGCGCTTTTAAAAGAAATTCGAATGTGCACTGGAGCATGCATGAACTGGACACGTGTACTGTTCTGTACACGTGCCAGTTATGAACACAGCTTAAATAAAGTCTTGCAGTGGTGGGAATCACACGCACCAGCATGCTGATGATAAACCGCGCTGTCATATCAGATGAAATGGTGTTGTCCTTGGTTGTTCTCTGCTGAAATGGGGGCAGTCGGAAACCTCGCAAGAAGATATTGAACAGCTAAAGAATAGAGCAGACACAAACAGCAAACAGGATGACTTGAAACCTTTGACACATCTGTACATTATACATGGTGAGAGCAGAACTCAACCAAACACTTATATAGCACCCTTTAATCAGTAAAATGCAGGGCACGGATGTACAGAATCCAAACTTCAAAACAAGGGAATACATGAGTAGAAACAAGGAACAAAGAAAGTCTCGCCAAACTGCATGAAAAGTGCTCAATGCACAAGAGCTTTTCAGAGCAGTTGTTAGATGATTGCTTAGGCATGAAACTTTGAGTTAAACCTATTCCACTTAGACTCTCTCTCTCTCTCTCTCTTTCTCTCTCTCTGTCTGTCTCTCTATCTGTCTCTCTCCCTCCCTCCCTCCCTCTGTCTCTCTCTCTCATATGTAACCAGATACAAGAAAATATGTGCATGCAAAACATACCCGTGGCAGGTAAGGCGTCCAGTCAATGTATCCAATGTTCACTTCCGCCAGGTTTGTGAAGAGATGCATCAATGACTGGGCAGAAAGGAAGACCATGGAGAGTAGATACATGTATAAGCAGTGCATAATTCAAACTACATGCACTAGTGACAAAAAAAGATGGTGAACATACACATTTACTTGAAGTATGTGTTGCAACATTTGGGCAACTTTTGATTTATTTTCTCGAATTTCCAAGGAGACAAGCTTTCGTATCAGCATGTAGTGTATGTTCACCATTATATAAAGGCTGTGAATAACGCAGCCCAAGCAATGTACAAGCTATACAATACTAGTAAGGCAATACGAATCGTTAATGTTCTCACTCCAGCAGCAGCAGCAGTCAACTCGCACAGCTAATAGGCTATTCATACTACGTTACAATATGCGTCACGTTTTGGAATACGACGTACTGGCAGACGTCGTTTTCATGCAGGTGCATTCATACAGGCACGCACACGCTGCTCGTACAGCTGTGCGTACAGCATATTTTGGACACAAACTGCTGGGAATGACAGTACGAAACTCGGTACAGGGGTCTGGATACGTCATCTACGTTTTCGTATCAGGGGTACGATTTTCCCGCCACGTTCCATGTTGTCATGGCTATCCGGACGAAAACGTCACGTACGCCACGTTTTGGGCGTAGTGTGAATGGCCCATAAAGCAGCAACCATGAATGAACTTACTGCACATCTGCTGTCAAAGTGTGCCATGTTCAGCCATAGCTCCATGAGCTCCTCAAACCACAGCCTGTAGGAAGAGGAATGAATAGACACAATCACAAATGCAATCAACGCTACCAATCAACATCACAGAAACACACCTAGGTCAGTCACAACATCTAGACAACCCAAAAACAAAAAGAGTCTCGAGTACCGCGGTTAACCGTTTTTAGAGGATTAGAGGCTGACAGGCAGAAAGAATACAGTTGTAACTTTTGCTTTAAAGAAGAGAGGAAAGAAAATAGTCCACACAAACTAACATGTGTTACTTACTTGAAGCCCTTATCATGATGCTCAGGAGGAAGTAAGATTGGCAAGAAGTTAGACATCATCAGCAATGCATCATCACACACAACGTCGGATGGACACAGCATTGGACGCATCTCATTCAGCATCTCTTGGGTAGACTCCACAGAGAAGTAGCTATTGCACAAATTAAAACCAACAAAACCCCATTACCGGAGAAGAACCTCCCCCACCGAAAATAAGCGCTGCCAGTGATGGTCAGGAAATTAAGAATTGCGAATCAGTTAGGTGGTCGAAATATCCAGCCCCTGCTGACAATACACAAAGAGTTCCCTTTTACACAGCTTTCCTGGGATAAAAATCATCTTACCGAAAGGACAAAGACTGACCAATCGGTGAGAAACTAGCAACTTCCCATTCCAGTGCCAAGGGGGCAGTGACATCACATTTAACAGGCCCATAAGATGGGGCAATACTGATTACATTAAAGAGTTGGTGGACAAGCCGTTGATTATTCACTCTCATTGTAATATCAAAAAGTATTCTTTCTAGACCAAAGAGTGGTATATTTGATAACATTTAAATAACGATAGAAATTTTTACGATACTTCTCCAGACGTTTCGTTGTTCTGAACAACATCGTCAGTGGATAAAGAATGACGATGTTGTTCAGAACAACGAAACGTCTGGAGAAGTATCGTAAAAATTTCTATCGTTATTAAATGTTATCAAATATACCACTCTTTGGTCTAGAAAGAATACTTTTTGATACTGATTACATTGTACTTCTAGTCTAGTCGTTCAGGAAATGCTGCAAATCACTGAACCCACAGAACAAGCAGACGGTGCCTTGATATTATCAGGTAGAGAAACAGAAGTCGATAACTTACATGCGGCACTTTCGCACGCACAGCCAGATTCGATTGCTAGTCTTCATCCTGCGCAAAGAAAGGAGGGCCATATGGATTAGCACATGAAAGGATATCGTATTGACGTTTCAGGGACTGGGCATATGCATAGCACATACTTTGAGTTGGGAAAAAAACGTACTTATATCACAGAGAGTGATAGTTGTAGCAGTAATCAAGCCCTCGTCTTTATAAAACACATCATGTTTAATGTCATGCTGATGCCAAGAGCAAGAATATGCTAGCCTGGAGTTACCAAAGATCAGAAAGTTCAACAGACTTTGAGAAAACTTCCCCGAGACTATTGAAATATCAAGAACAGCCTACCTGCAAAAATTACAAATACTATATTTGCTCGGCGAGAGCCCTCTCTTGAAAAGTGCCCCTATCTCTAAGCGCCAATGAAACACACATGCACACACACAAGCGAGTGCGCACACACTCGCGCGCGCACACACACACACACATACACACACACACACACACACACACACACACACACACACACACACACACACACACACACACACACACATGTATACATTACATATGCACAGAGCTTAGAACTTACGTAGGAGCATGTAAAGCACCTGCTCTATTCGTCTTGCAAAAGCACATGCGCCTCACCAAGTCATACAGTGGCCGCCAATCTAGGACCAAGTCATCTCGAGACAATCGCTTGATTTTTCTACAATACGCGAACGAAAACAGCAGCATGGATGGAGTAATGCACACATATGCACGCACACCACACACAGACACACACACACACACACACACACAAGCATGCACACACACACACACACACACACACACACACACACACACACACACACACACACACACACACACGCACATACACACAAGCACGCACACAAAAATCACAAAACCAATGCAGTTTTCAAGGGAATTTTCTTGTCATAAATGACGTTGATGATCGTAGCAAGAAAATACCCTGGACCAGCACTTCCTCCGGAAAAGGCCTTCCGTGTCTTTTTTCATTAATTTTCATATTAATAAAGAGATACTGTGCTCAAGAAAGTTGGGTTCAGTGAAACAAAAACACTCTAAGACAAGGCATGGATATACTTCTTCGAAGTACATGTACATAATGTACATTGTTATAGGAAAGGAATTGGCACTGTGCGAAATCCTTAGAGGTTCTCCAGAGGAAGTACAATGTACTTTGGTCATGTTATGTTTCTGATACGAGTGTGCACATTACCTGTTTTCCCCGTAGCTATGCACAAGATGTTACGAATAGCATTGTCTGGTGCTAGCCAGGGTCCACAGCGCTTTATCATTCCCTATCTGTGTGTGCGCTGTGCATGTTCGGATGTGAAGCGACAGGGTACAAAGGGTCGGCGGCGGCGCATCAAGCATGGGGGTTAATTCATTGCCTACGGTGTTAGTGTCCATGTTACATAGAAATGATGATGAGGGGAAAGCAAAGTGATCATTCATTACAATTATACACACTCTTGCAGACATTGAAGTCCGGTGAGAAGTCAAGTGGCCAGGGGGGGGGGGGGGGGCGTTGGCCGTGCAGCCGTGAGCACTGCTGGTCCATTATTACAGTGTGTACATGCATGTACGCGCTAAGCGAGTAAGGGCGCCAGCCCCGGTCATTCCAACGGATTTCTATGGCCACAACAGTACATATATTACATGCACACACTTACATAAATAGAGCCGCGCACGCGCGTGCACACACACAAGTGCTCACACGAGCGGAGCTGTGCGCACATGTGTGTACACGTGCACGCACGCACCTATCTCCCCCCCCCCCCCCCCCCACCCCATACCCATGTCACAAAAAAAACCAATACAATAATGTAACAAACCCATTCCAGTAAGACTAACCTGAGCAAATCAGTGAGTATCCGTGAGCAAGCTTCAACGACATTATAACTCAGGTACGGCTGGGTTATGAATGAATATAGCAACTTGACTAACAGTATGTGTTGCTCTTTGGTGAATCGCTGGTCATAGATACGCATGTAACTGCAGTGGAAAAAGACACGCGATAATGAACGCCCAACCACGCACCCCACATACAACATAGTGACCACAAAGTGGCCCATTATCAAAAAAAATGCGGGCGCATGCATGCACGTGCCCACATTAACACCCGCATACAGTCAACTTTGCGTATAACGACACCCGGCTGGGCATCAGAAAAGTGTCCTTATTCGCGAAGTGTCGTTCTACCCGAAGTCTCATTATATGTATTGCAGTTAGATGGGACTTTGATCTGGGCACGGATATTCAGTCGTTATTCGCAAATTGTCGTTATATCCGTAGTCGTTATTAGCGAAGTTGATTGTACATGCTTGCTAGTCACATGCAGACGCACTGAAGTGACAAAGCATTGTGCTAAGCTCAGCCTATGGTTTGCATACTGCATGTAGCTGTAGTAACCAGTGCAAAATAAGGACCATACTGAAGCATTATACCTGTGCATTGATGCTCTCATTGGACTTTCTATACAGCATTGACAATGAAACTTTTTACTTTTGCTGTCACAATTATTCTGCAGTGCTGAGAGACAAGACTATGTTTCGCCCTACACTTACACTCGATCTAACCATGCACAAATAAAACATCACACAATAATTGTCAACTGCTGGATGCAAGCCTTTAGCGTGTCTAATAAAGCATGTTTATAAACAACAGTCCATGGTCAACTCACTGATCAAGTCTTGAGACCCAGAAGACAACACCTGGACGTATTTCACGCTGCAGAATTGCGGCGGATAAATTGGTGATGATATCTTGAAGCATTTCATTCGCTTCTTCATCAAGCAGCTCTGCATAGGGCAGGTGCTGGGTGTAGGGATTGACTTTCTGGAAGTCATCTTGCTGCTTCTTCATTTTGGAAATGACTAAAGAACAAAGCAATTGAACATTGCGCTCGACTATTGTGGAAAGCTAAGCCGAAAAGAATGGAATTCTAGTTACTTCTATAAACAAACCAGGCATACAATCTACACAAGAAGAGTATGACTAATGCTGGTATGACTCAGTTCCAGCAGCTGCTGGAAATACTGTGGGAAATAATTCTAATTATTTCCTTATTTTCATAATGCGAGCTTCTCTCAGCATATCAGTACTTCACTACTTGTACTGCATGCAGTCTGTACTGTAGCGCAGCTTTTCTTGTTCTTGTCAATGCATGACGTCTGTGCATGCATGCAGTGCAGTGGCAGTACGTCAGTAGTGCCTAGTGGGTGGCTCCCCCGGGGGATTTTGGACTCTTTCTTGGTGCATGGTGAATGAGTTGTCAGCACTAGCCCGCGACCAGGATGCTCAGGATGCTCAAACTTCAAGTTAGTTCAAGTACGAGTCAGTCGAGTACGAGCACCTACAAAATCACCGATAGCAAGAGACTCTTGCCGATACCTGGATACTGGCGATAGCGATAAACCCGTTTCAGCAAGGCGTTTGATAGGGCCAGGCCCAGGGTCCCAGGGATCCCGGTCCCGCTCTCCGACGCGACACGACGAGGGTTTTTTCTTTTCTTTTTTTTTGTGGTTACTACACGTACGAGTGCAGTGTGTTATCATTCTTTTTTCTTCTTCTTTTATTTTTAAAAGCCTCTCGTACCGCGGGGGCCGGGGGGGGGGGGGGCGCACAACAATACCGTTTCTTCTTCTGATGGAGCTGTCATCACGGTATCGCCGCCTCAAACAGGAGTGCATGAACTCAAGACGGGCAGAGGTGGGGGCAAGACTAGAGCCTTGTAGAGGAGCAGCTTGGACGGTTTGGCACGAGCATTAGCATGATTAGGCTGTTGTAAGGAAAAACAGCGCGAGAAGGAACTGCAGAAATTCAGCACTACAATGTAAATTCCAGCTACCTGTACGTTATCTGGCGGAGGCGACGGGAGAAGTCTTGGCGTGATTGGCCGTTGTTTTAAAAGTCCCAGCGAGGCAGTTTGTTGGCACTTGGTTGGCGGACAGTAACCCAGTGAGGATAGTTGGGTACCCTTCGAACCCGACACCCGTGACCGGCTTCTAGTAAAGGGCTGGGGGTGGGTGTTCGCCAACCAATGGAAGCCGAGCATTCGTTCGTTTTTTCTAGTCTACTTGCTCGAGGAAAACATGGATGCAGTGAATGGGATTTCCGGTCTTTGACCACATGCTGGTGAGCTGATCTACTCACCTCCCACCGCTTTAGGAGCTGCATCTGCGCCTTGATCCTTGATGGGTGGTGGCGTTCCTACGGATGCGGAAAACTCGGCCTCTATAATTATAGAGAAACCGAGTCTCACGCGAACCGTGAATTTTTTTTGCTTGTGCTGCACCGCGCTGCAGCTACTACATGTACAACATGTACATGTATTTCACTGCGCTAGTCGCGTCCATATTGCACTGCACTGAGAGCTGGCCCATTCCCTGCTGCTCCATGTTTTCGCTCAAACCCAGGCATTGGCCCACAGCGGCAGTCGCTTTCTTTTCTTTTTTCTCTTTTTACTTTCACCGTCACCGCCTAAAAAACAGTCGAGACCGGGCGTTTTTTCTAATTTTTTACCCACCAGTTTTTTTGGTGCGAATTACATGTACATCCTTAAACAGATCAGTCAATTCATCACCGAAGTAATGTCAGCAAAGCAAAAGTCATCCACCAGCACTAAGAATACCGATCAAACATGTACATGTACACCGTACATGTACTTCAAAGTATCGCTGGGTAAAGGACCACTTTCATAGTTGCAATCTTCTTCCCTTTCACCCTTTCATTCTTCTAATAATATGTCATACTACTTTCGTTTTTGGTACGAATCAGAGAGCCAATCTCTGGTGAGAAGGCAGTACTGCCTGTGCGAAATAGAAGAATACAACAATGACGACAACAGCACCACCACCAACAACAACAACAACAACAACAACAACAACAACAACAACAACAACAACAACAACAACAACAACAACAACAACAACAACAACAACAACAACAACAACAACAACAACAACAACAACAACAACAACAACAACAACAACAACAACAACAACAACAACAACAACAACAACAACAACAACAACAACAACAACAACAACAACAACAACAACAACAACAACAACAACAACAACAACAACAACAACAACAACAACAACAACAACAACAACAACAACATCTCTTATTGGCCACTGGCTATCGTGAGAATAAAGATTTGAAACAACAACAACAACAACAACAACAACAACAACAACAACAACAACAACAACAACAACAACAACAACAACAACAACAACAACAACAACAACAACAACAACAACAACAACAACAACAACAACAACAACAACAACGAAATCCCTTCACGTTCTCCCTTCAAATCCCAGATATCCCTGCTGTTGCACAACTCTGTATGCTCGTGTAGCGACCACCCCTGCCCGTACACTTAAGTAGTCATTAACCCCTAGGCTCTGCCCATCCATTTCTTCCTCACTCTTTCTCCTTTCTTTCACTATTATCTCTTATTGGCCACTGGCTATCGTGAGAATAAAGATGTGAAACAACAACAACAACAACAACAACAACAACAACAACAACAACAACAACAACAACAACAACAACAACAACAACAACAACAACAACAACAACAACAACAACAACAACAACAACAACAACAACAACAACAACAACAACAACAACAACAACAACAACAACAACAACAACAACAACAACAACAACAACAACAACAACAACAACAACAACAACAACAACAACAACAACAACAACAACAACAACAACAACAACAACAACAACAAACCAGGCTCGCTCAAATCGACCTCCCCAAATACCGGTCGCAGCAACGTCGAGTCTGGCACTGTCTTCCGTCGAAGAAGTCCTGCAGCGAAGCTGCTCGCCAGACAAAGGCTGCAGGTGGAACTCGACAGCTACGTCCTTGTTGGCCTCCCGTTTCGATGGTTTCAGCAGGGATGCTGTGATATCCCGCACTTCATTATGGCGGGGTGATGTGGAGAAAACCACCCGTGCTGCATGTGAGAGCATGCGTACGTGCCCCCCCCCCCCCACACACACACAGGTTCACCAGGTTGATGGTACTTGGTAGCCGTGCACATGGTACAGGTTACCAGCCGTATCGCAAGGCCAACCGCGGTAGAACCCATCCCGGAATTCATTTGGAGAGGGAAAAACAATGACGGGCAAAGGGGTGACAGTTATTAGTCAGCCAGCTGGAGGCACCGCGTTCACTGGCTAGCTGGATGCTGTGTTGGCAGTGTGTGTGTGTGTGGGGGGGGGGGTCTCCGTGGTGAACTGCTGGATATCAGCATTGGCCTGTCGTCACCGATCAGCATGTAGAGCAGCCTTTGTCTCAGAAATTGCAGTCAACGCATCGGAGATCTGGCTGTCTTGCTGCAGGCTCTTGGCGACTAGCGGTGCTGTGATCGCCCGAGATGCAGTATTGAGTATGCTGGCTTGCTAGAGATGTTGGGTCAGCAATGCCCACCTTCTCGGCAGGGAAACACAATGAGCTTTCTGAGCTGTGGGCCAATATCTTCGCCGGATAATGCAGGCAGCAACTGCAACAAGATGCTACAATGAATATAACAACACCCGTCCAAGCTAAAGGACCTACATCCCTGCCCCAGGACGGTATCTTGAAAAACCCACACACTCACCACACGGTCATCATCCAGCTTCAGTTCAATCACTGTATTCTTCCCATGCAGATTCACCTCCCGTGGCACTAGCCATACAATCTGAAGCTGTACGTAACCATACAAAGGCCCGCGACGCACACACCACCCCTATGTTTTTTTTTGAAAAAGAAAAGCAGTCGTAACTGCCACAGCCACATGGCCAATAAGAAGCGAACAAGATTATATCGATAAACACACACCCAGACGTCAGGGATGGGAGGGTGGGATACAAACTGCAACGAAAAGCCACTGCGAAGTGACAGGAATGCGGTCAAGCACAACATTTTGCTGAAGCAAAAAGTTACAGGGAAATCCCAAAATCGGTGCGATTTTACATGAGCCCAAATGTTCAAGTTACCCACAAAGACACACTCACAAGCTTTCCAACTCTCTTTGGCCGTTGGAAAACGTACCTTCATTTTGAAAGGGTGCGGTCAAAAAGTGAAGGAGGGCGCAGCGCCTCGCTATGTCGCTTTGGAGCAACTTTGCGATTCAGCCTTCAGGTTGTATGGCGTGATGTACATTTCACATTCGTATTTCTCTCGCATGTTTGCTACTATTGTAATAAAGCATGGTTACCATGGTTACCGCATAGTTAGTACTCTTGATTGCCATATTAGTAATTATCCATCAGCACTCGGCCGAAGGCCGGAGATTGGCACCCACCGGGCTAGCATCCAGCAGCCAAAGGTGGGGCCATGTATCATATGGATATTATATATCTTGGTAGGTAAACAACAGAGAGAAACACACGACACTTTTTTAAATATCAATCATAGGAAACACGAGAGGGTCTGGAGGAAAATTGGACCGAAATATCTCCACCACCCACCCCAGAGCATTACAAAATAATCAAGGACCTTACGCAGGATAGCTGCCGAGCCAAGGAGAGCATTCTTTTGCAATTCATACACAGAGCAGTAGCTGGTGATACCAAGGTATCCTGGCAACTGTTTGGAAACAGTGCCCGAAGTCCCAACTACCAAAGGAACAATATGAGTCTTAACTTGCCATAGCCCATGGATTTTATTTCGCGAGCAAGAAGTTGATACTTGGCACGTTTCTCAACTTCCTTTCCAGCAACGCGTGGATCACCAGGTACAGCAATGTCAATGATCAGGGCCTTCTTGGCAGATCCATCAACCAGAACAGCATCAAGCCGTCAGTCTCAGTGCTCAATGAAGCGATCGCACCGGATGGTGAAATCCCACAGAATCTTGGATCTTCTGGTCCTGCGGAGAGATGTTGGCGTCTGAAGAATCTCTAGTTATCCTCGGCTTGTAGTACTTGTCTTCACATGGTATGCATGCATTCCGAAATGACATTTTTTAGAAACGTCTTGCAGGAGAACCCACCCACCACAAACAAACGCCTGTTGCTAGTGTTAGACGTCTCTAACTTCAAAGTAAAAATACAAAGTCATGACTCATGTATTTACGGACGGCCCCGAAGGGGCGTCCGGATCCCGATTACATGTAGAAAGTAGAATGCTTGAATAATCATAATAATATTCAAGGCGCGGTGGAGCGGAAACTAACTCGTCTTCCCCCGCGACGGAAGTCCCGGCCCGCGCTCCCACTGGCCGGGCCAACGCAATATGGACGCACTACGCATGCGCGACATTTGCAAATAATTTAATTAGATGCAGCTGTAAGATCTTGCAGACCTCTACTCTAGCTAGGCTCTACTTCGTGTTTTGAAGTCTCCTTGGAGTGCAGGCCAATGAATTTGATTAGCGGTTACTTGAGTAATAACGGAGCTGCTAACGTGCATCCTCCAGGGTTTTAGACTTTGATAGAAATTGTGATAACAATTTAGCAGAGGTTGAGGCCGAAGAGGTCGGAATAGCCTGGCTAGATTTGAGAAACATTCTGAAGCAAGAAATTCCAGAAATAATAAAAGAGAGCAGGACCGGCTTCCATCTTCAAATAAGGTAAGCAACAATCTCGAATCAATACATAGCTACACAGAGTGCCTTGTATTATGCATGCCCTTGTGTCTTCCGCCTGTTGTTTTATAATGATTATAATTTCTGTACATCTAGCTTTTCACCCTTGCTCCTTCAGGAAAGTTGCGAGGCTCTGCATTGCTTGATGATGTAAACGACTGGTACAGTTTTGCAACTCCATACCCGGTGATTCGGGGGAGGTGTTGCTTGGCAGTGAACAATTTGAACAATGGCTTAGTCCCGCATTCAACCTCACTCCTTCAACGGTGAAGTGTGGGGCTCTGATACGCTTGCCAACTGAACGGTTTGGGCGGCCTTGTGACTCCATACCCGGTGATTCGGGAAGTGTGTTGCTTGGTGTTGAACAATGGCTTGGTCTCGCATTCAACCTCACTCCTTCAAGGGAAGTGTGTGGCTCTGATACGCTTGACAAATAAACGGTTGGGCAGCCTTGTGACTCCATACCCGGTAATTCGGGATGTGTGTTGCTTGGCATTGAAGAATGGCTAAGTCTTGCTTTCAACCTCACTCCTTCAAGGGAAGTGTGGGGCTCTGTTCTGATTGACAAATGAACGGTTTGGGCAGCCTTGTGACTCCATACCCGGTGATTCGGGACGTGTGTTGCTTGGCATTGAAGAATGGCGAAGTCTTGCTTTCCACCTCGCTCCTTCAATGGAAGTGTGGGGCTCTGATACGCTTGACAACTGGACGGTTTGGGCAGCCTTGTGACTCCATTCCCGATGATTCGGGACGTGTGTTGCTTGGTATTGAACAGTGGCTTGGTCTCGCATTCAACCTCACTCCTTCAAGGGAAGTGTGGGGTTGCCGTTATGCTTGACAAGATGAAGGGTTGGGCAGTGCGGGGACTTTGATACCGTTGATTCGGGGCATGTGTTGCTTGGCAGTGAACGATGGGTCGGTTTTGCATTGAACCTCACACCTTCAAGGGAAGTGTGAGGCGTTCGTATTGTTGACATGATGAACGGTTGGGCAGTGTGGGGACTTTGATCCCGTTGACTCAGGGCATGTGTTGCTTGGCAGTGAATGATGGCTCGGTCTTGCATTGAACCTCACTCCTTCAAGGGAAGTGTGAGGCTTTGGTATGCTTGACAAGGTGAACGGATGGGCAGTTCAGGGACTTTGTTCCTGGTGATTCGGGGCATGTGTTGGTTGGCAGTGAATGATGGCTCGGTCTGGCATTGAACCTCACTCCTTCACGGGAAGTGTGTGGCTCTGATATGCTTGACAAGATGAACGGTTGGGCGGTGTGGGGACTATGTTCCCTTTGATTAGGCGTGTTCGTTATTTTGGCAGTGAATGATCGATCGATCGATCTTGCATTGAACCTCACTCCTTCAAGGGAGGTGTGAGGCTTTGGTATGCTTGACAAGATGAACGGTTGGGCAGGGTGGCGACTTTGATCCCGTTGATTCGGGGCATGTGTTGCTTGGCAGTGAGTGATGGCTCGGTCTTGCATTGAACCTGTGGCGTTGAACCTCACTCCTTCAAGGGAAGTGTGGGACTCTGATATGCCTGACAAGATGAACGGTATGGCAGTGTGAGGACCTTGATCCCGTTGATTCGGGGCATGTGTTGGTTGGCAGTGAATGATGGCTCGGTCTTGCATTGAACCTCACTCCTTCAAGGGAAGTGTGAGGCTTTGGTATGCTTGACAAGATGAACGGTTGGGCAGTGTGGCGACTTTGATCCGGTTGATTCGGGGCATGTGTTGGTTGGCAGTGAATGATGGCTCGGTCTGGCATTGAACCTCACTCCTTCAAGGGAAGTGCGGGGCCCTAATATGCTTGACAAGATGAACGGTTGGGCAGTGTGGGGACTGTGTTCCTTTTGATTAGGCGAGTGCGTTGCTTGGCAGTGAATGATCGGTCGAACTTGCATTGATCCTCACTCCTTCAAGGGAAGTGTGCGGCTTTGGTATGCTTGACAAGATGAACGGTTGGGTAGTGCGGAGACTGCGATCCCGTTGATTCGGGGTATATGTTGCTTGGCAGTGAACGATGGTTCGGTCTTGTGTGTTGAACCTCACTCCTTCAAGGGAAGTGTGGGGCTTTGGTATACTTGACAATAGGAACGTTTAGACAGTGTGGAGGCTTTGATGCCGTTGATTCGGGGCATGTGTTGCTTGGCAGTGAATGATGGCTCGATCTTGCATTGAACCTCACTCCTTCAAGGGAAGTATGAGGCTTTGGTAAGCTGGACTCGGGGACTTTGTTCCTGGTGATTCGGGGCATGCGTTGCTTGGCAATGAATAATTGCTCTTTCTTGCATTGAACCTCACTCCTTCAAGGGAAGTGTGGGGCTTTGGTGTGCGTGACAAGATGAACGGTTGGGCAGTGTGTGAACTTTGATCCCGTTGATCCGGGGCATGTGTTGGTTGGCAGTGATTGATGGCTCGGTCTAGCATTGAACCTCACTCCTTCAAGAGAAGTGTGGGGCTTAGGTATGCTTGGCAAGATGAATGGATGGGCAGTGCGGAGACTGTGATCACGTTGATTCGGGGTATGTTGCTTGGCAGTGAGTGATGGTTCGGTCTTGTATTGAACCTCACTCCTTCTAGGGAATTGTGAGGCTTTGGTATGCTTGACAAGGTGAACGGATGGGCAGTTCAGGGACTTTGTTCCCGGTGATTCGGGGCATGTGTTGGTTGGCAGTGAATGAGGGCTCGGTCTGGCATTGAACCTCACTCCTTCAAGGGACATGTGTTGGTTGGCAGTGATTGATGGCTCGGTCTAGCATTGAACCTCACTCCTTCAAGAGAAGTGTGGGGCTTAGGTATGCTTGGCAAGATGAATGGATGGGCAGTGCGGAGACTGTGATCACGTTGATTCGGGGTATGTTGCTTGGCAGTGAATGATGGTTCGGTCTTGTATTGAACCTCACTCCTTCTAGGGAATTGTGAGGCTTTGGTATGCTTGACAAGGTGAACGGATGGGCAGTTCAGGGACTTTGTTCCCGGTGATTCGGGGCATGTGTTGGTTGGCAGTGAATGAGGGCTCGGTCTGGCATTGAACCTCACTCCTTCAAGGGAAGTGTGGGGCTCTGATATGCTTTGACAAGATGAACGGTTGGGTGGTGTGGGGACTATGTTCCCTTTGATTAGGCGTGTTCGTCTTTCGGCAGTGAATGATCGGTCGATCTTGCATTGAACCTCACTCCTTCAAGGGAAGTGTGAGGCTTTGGTATGCTTGACAAGATGAACGGTTGGGCAGTGTGGCGACTTTGATCCCGTTGATTCGGGGCATGTGTTGGTTGGCAGTGAGTGATGGCTCGGTCTTGCACTGAACCTGTGGCGTGGAACCTCACTCCTTCAAGGGAAGTGTGGGACTCTGATATGCCTGACAAGATGAACGGTATGGCAGTGTGAGGACGTTGATCCCGTTGATTCGGGGCATGTGTTGCTTGGCAGTGAATGATGGGTCGGTCTGGCATTGAACCTCACTCCTTCAAGGGAAGTGTGGGGCTTTGGTGTGCTTGACAAGGTGAACGGTTGGGCAGTGTGGGGACTCTGTTCCCCTTGATTAGGCATCTGAGTTGCTTGGCCGTGAATAATCGGTCGATCTTGCATTGATCCTCACTCCTTCAAGGGA